TGGAGTGTACCGGCCGGCAGCAAAGGGCGGAGAGTGCACGGTGGGCGAGAAGACCAGTAGCTGCGGCCGAAATCCCGGACGCGTTTTGAGCTCCAGGGCGTCGCTAAATGGGACTCGACCCGATCGTGTGACCCCACCAATGGATTGCTCTCCGAACGAGGAATCCATTGGTGGGGTCACACGCTTGGTTTGAGTCCCATTTAGCGACTCTGGAGCTCAAAAGGCGTCTAGAGTTATGGCCGCCTCCACCAGTGTAGGCGCGGATAAGCAGCCTCATTTCCTTTGTCCATCGCGGCCCTACCTCTCGGCCAGCAGCAGGCTCAGATTTACGAGTCTGTTTTTGCCGTTTTGGCGCGAAAAAACAAAGAGGCGCGAACGAGGCTCGCTGGGCGTGCTGAGCCACCGCGGCTACCGACGCTCTTTCGCCACGACGCCATTGACGACCGCCCTTTCAGTGCGCACGACTTATCTCGCACTATTGGCCCCACCAGAAACAATCGCATTATTCGCAGTGCCGCGCAGAGACGGGTCCAGAGAGCCGGCCGGAGGGAGGGGCAGAGTGGCTCTTTTTATGCCTGCTTACAGTGGTGGCACAGTGTGGCTTTTTGCATACCTTTCAGGTGGCTATCTGGAGGCCAAAGGGGGGTCCATTGCTCTTCTGCTTCCCTACTGGATCCGCGCTTGAGCAGTGCTGCTTGCACGGCTTGCACGCTACCGACGGCAGGTCCAAGCCTTTGTTTACTTCTCGCCTCATTCCGCGAAGGATTGCCTCGTCGCTCTGTCTCTCTCGCACACATGGGGCGTCCCGTTGGGGTGCGAGAGAGACAGAGCGAGGTCGCGACTGCACCGCCTATGCATACCCAACAGTGGAGGGGCGTTGGAACGAATCTTCGGGATGGTCGTGGCCCTGCCCAGGCACTGCCGCCGCCCTGCCCCTGCCTCGTTTGTTCCATAGTAGGCGTCTCACTGCCGTAATGATGGCTGCTAAACCTATCAGCGTGCTTGTTGCTTGTTGGCGCAGTTATTTATTCATGATCGAGTTGTTCAAACGCGGCGGAGGGAGAGAGGCAAGGAGAGTGTTGCCAGCCCTGACTGGCCCGCCGCGCGGCCTGCCGTCTGATTCCGAACACTGCTTCGTCGCTCTGTCTCTCTCGCACCCCTACGGACCGCCCCATGAGTGCGAGAGAGACAGAGCGACGAAAGCAGTGTTCGGAATCAGACGGCGGGCTGCCTGCAGTGCCGCGTCTTCGTCGCTGTGTCTCTCTCGCACCGATACGGGACGTCGCAAGAGTGCGAGAGAGACAGAGCGACGAAGACGACTCTCGGAATCGGTTGCTGCTCGGCCCGCCCCGCGCGCTCCCAACGACGATGATGCTGTAAATAACGACCCCCGACAATCTCCAGAGCATCAGCAGACGGCTGCTGTGACCGTGCCGTGCCGTGCCGTGCCGCGGCGGGCTTTAGCGTTTTGTTTTAACGATTATTGCCCGCGCGGCTTCGCGGCATGAGGGGTCAATCCCGCGGCCGCCTGGCCGTCCGCTCGCCAAAGCAAGCGCGGCCCGACAGTGGCGTGCGCCGAGGAAGGCTGCGGCGCGACGCTCCATTTCGTCCAACGTCCAGCAGAGACTGATCCCGAGAGTCGTTTTCGTCGCTCTGTCTCCCTCGACCTTTC